GGTGTCGGCCTGTACGAGCGTCTGTGCAGTGGGTCACCCGCCGACTCGCAGGAGTGAACTGGTGAACCCCCGCATCCTGTAGGTCAGCACCACTCACCAAGTTCGTAGAGAACGAGGGAAGGTAAAGACCAGACAGGGTGCCAGAGGGGGCCGCCGGACACGGGAGGACAGTGGAGAAGTGAGCAAGGACAGGACCCCCAGAGGGGTCTGCCAGAGAGACTGCAACTGGCCGGCTAAGCGGCGTGAGTGTGGTGCGGTCTCGAAAGAAGGAGCGAGAAGCCCCCGAGTCAAGGGTGAAGGTGTGGGAGGCCGAAGCCGACGCAGAACCTGAGAGAGCAGACTCACCAGCACCTGAGGGAGCAGACGCACCTAGAGCAGCAGCCTCGCTAGCACCTAGAGCAGCAGCCTCACCAGTACCTAGAGCAGCAGTCTCAATGCCCGGGTCGGGCGGAAAACACCGGTAACAGTCACCCTCATCACTAATAGTCACAGTATACATGGCAGCAAGAATAGCATCAAAGTCAAGGTCAAAGACAGCCACACCTGCCCTAGACAGCTCACCCCAGCGGGGGATCTCAGTGGCCTCAGGGAACTGGTGACGCCAAGCGTCCGTCAGGCGGCCAAAGCAGCGCTGGGTGGAGTGCGCACCCCCGCACTGCTCACCCGCGCGGTCGCCGGTGCGGAGGACGTAGGTGCACGGACCAGTACCCCCACCCCTCTGGCGTGCAGTGTACCACTCACGGAGCTGCTGAGGGGAGGGGATGTCACGAGTGCGCTGCTGGTGCTGCTGCTGCTGCTGGCGCTGACCACCACCGGAGCCGACCCTCTGCGCAGCGCCACCCCGACCAGCTCCACCTCCTCCGCCGCCTCCTCCTCCACCGCCGCCACCTCCGCTCCCTCCGCCACTGCCGCTGCTGCCTCCGCCTCCACTGCCGCCACCGACACCTCCACCCCCGCCACCACCCCCACCGCCACCCCCACCTCCTCCACCGCCTCCACTGCCGCCTCCACCGCCCCCGCTAGCTCCTCCAGCGCCCCTGCCCCCCTTGCCCTTGCCAGGGCGGCGTCTCCCGCTAGGGGTAGACGCCGCACCGACCGACTCAAGCCCAACGAGGTCGGCCGCAGCAGCAGAGGCAACAGAGGGCAAAAGGGGGGAGGGGGAACACCCCTCAAAGATGGGGGTGCGAGGGTCACCACGAGAGGCTCCTACAGCTACTATGCTCTTCTCTGCTGCTAGGAGGGACTTCTCGAGGAGGTCAACGGTGAGAGTGGTGGGGCAAACTGAGAGGAAGTGGTCCCTGACTACGCGAAGGGAGTCAGGGAGCCGGGTGACTATGTAGTAGAGGGTGATGTACATGGGGGGGGGGTTCTTGGCGCAGAACTCAGCAGGAAGCGCAGCGCGGTAGCGAGTGTCACTAGTGCGTAGGTGCGTAATGAGGTCAGCGACTGTGGGAAAGGCAGCAAGGTCAGGGAAGAGGTACGGTAGCATGAGGCGACTCAGTGCAGCAGTGGCAGGGGAGGAGTAGCGTGCAACTACAGCGTCGTACAAGGTCTGAGCACTCTTGTACTGGCTAAAGTGCGCACGCTCAGAGGTAGGCAGGTGGCGACGCACAGCAAGACGTGCAGCAGCATCGCGCGTGGCCCACTGGGAGCGAACAGTTGCGTCAGCATCAGTGGCGGGGGCAGGAGAGGCACCAGAAGTGAGGTCAAAGAGGGAGAGGCCGTCTGCCCTATCGCACTGTAAGAAAAGCTGCAGGTCATCTATCCAGACGTCAAAGTCAATGGCCCGACCCTCAGCGTCAAAAGCGAGGACACTAGGGGTAGCCATGACAGCAGTAGACTAGCAGCGCAAACAGTGGGGTGAGGGCAGTGCTGTGAGAGAGGCGCTGCTCTTACCGGACAGGGCGGCTCGGGCGGCTCGGCTGCAGGGCGGCTCGGCGACTCGGCTGCTGGGCGGCTCGGCTGCTGGGCGGCTCGGCGGCTGGGCGGCTCAGCGGCTCGGCTGCTGGGCGGCTCGGCGGCTCTGCTGCTGGGCGGCTCGGCTGCTGGGCGGCTCGGCGGCTCGGCTGCTGGGCGGCTCGGTGGCTCAGCTGCTGGGCGGCTAGGCTGCTGGGCGGCTCGGCGGGGCCGCTGAGAGGGCGGCGTCCGGGGCCGCTGGGAGGAGGCGGCGGGGCCGCTGAGAGGAGGCGGCGTGGCCGGAAAGGTAGGTGGCGGGGCCGCGTCAGGGGCCGCGACAGGGGCCGCGTCAGGGGCCGCGTCAGGGGCCGCGGCAGGGGCCGCGTCAGGGGCCGCGGCAGGGCCGCGTCAGGGCGCCGCGTCAGGGGCCGCGTCAGGGCGCCGCCAGGGGCCGCGGCAGGGCCGCGTCAGGGCCGCGGAAGGGGCCGCGGCAGGGGCCGCGTCAGGGGCCACGTCAGGGCCGCGTCAGGGCCGCGGCAGAGCCGCGTCAGGGCCGCGTCAGGGGCCGCTTCAGGGCCGCGGCAGGGGCCGCAGCAGGCCGCGTCAGGGCCGCGTCAGGGGCCGCGGCAGGGCCGCGTCAGGGCCGCGGCAGGGGCCGCGTCAGGGCGCCGCGTCAGGGGCCGCGTCAGGGCGCCGCCAGGGGCCGCGGCAGGGCCGCGTCAGGGTCGCGTCAGGGCCGCGGCAGAGCCGCGTCAGGGCCGCGTCAGGGGCCGCTTCAGGGCCGCGGCAGGGGCCGCGGCAGGCCGCGTCAGGGCCGCGTCAGGGGCCGCGGCAGGGCCGCTAAAAAAAATAATTTTAGGGCAGGGCGCAATGTGCGCGGGCAGCTAAAAAAAAAATTCTTATGGTGGGCCCTTAGGAAGGAACGGTCCCATGTAGGAACCCGCTCTATACCATGTGAATCAAGAAAACAGGAATGAGAATGACTAAGTGAAAGTTGGGTACAAAAGGCAAACCCTAGGCAACTGTACCCCATATGTGCTACCCCACTATAGCCTACAGTAGCTATGTCATATAACTCTGACATCTCTCTCTCTCTCTCTCTCTCTCTCTCTCTCTCTCTCTCTCATCGTCTCTCTCTATTAAGGTATATATATATATCTCTCTCTCTCTCATCGTTTCTCTCAATTACCGTATGTTTATTTCTCTCTCTCTCTCTCTCTCTCTCTCTCTCTCTCTCTCTCTCTCTCTCTCTCTCTCTCCCTCTCTCTCTCTCTCTCTCTCTCCCTCGCTCTCTCTCTCTCTCTCTCTCTCTCTCTCTCTCTCTCTCTCTCTCTCTCTTTATCTCTCTCTCTCTCTCTCTCGCTCTCTCTCTATCTCTATTGCTCTCTCTCTCTCTCCCTCTCTCTCTCTCTCCCTCTCTCTCTCTCTCTCTCTCTCTCTCTCTCTCTCTCTCTCTCTCTCTCTCTCTCTCTCTCTCTCTCTCTCTCTCTCTCTCAAGCTCTTTGCGTATCATACCTATTTATATCTTCATTTGGGGAATTGAATCTTCTCCTTCATTTTGGTATGATACATTGTTTCCATTGTGTTTTGTTTTTTGCATCCTCACCCTAAATTTGGTATGATACATGTTTCCATGATTGTGTTCTTTTGTTATTACTTTGTCATGTGTTTCAAGCTCCATGGCAGCCCTGCCAGATTTTGATGGGTTAATAGTTTTTTATTTGAGCATTTAATGGTCATTGCTTGAGTTATGATGTCACTCATGTACATTTGTTGTGTTGAAATCAATGATTTTCTAGTAAAGCCAATAGTAGAGTGGTACTTAGGGTCTACTATGGTGCAGATGAACATCCATGCTGTAAGATAGGCATTGTCAAACACACCAGGTAGGGTGCTGAGGTATTAAAGTTTGTCATGAGAGGACCCGTATACCTAGAATTGGAACATTGAATCCAACATTTTTTTGGTGCTGCCATAAGAGTAGGTGAATAGCGTGAGTGATATACAAAAGGACGGGAAATCAAGAGGACAATAGAAAACAAAAAATCGGGTCGTATGTAGTCTCTACTATGACACCCACTATAAAACCCACATATTCCTTAACGTGTGTCGTCTGCCCTTTTGACACACCTACGTTCCCTTGCCGTGCAACCTGGGAGAGGGGGGTAGAATGGAGGCAGATAGCCAGAGATGTTAAAATGGAGGAAAAGTGGCACCACTGTCAGGATTGGCTGGTGCAGGGCTTGCCAGAGGCTTCCACTTCTCCACCGAGCTGTGGAATCTGAGAGAAAGGGCTGGACATATCTTCATGAACCCCAATAAACAAGACAGTACGATGTCAGCAGGACATAGCTGCGCCGCATACTGCATCATATTACAAGGCTTGAGATGTGTCTCAATGATCTGATTGGAGACTCACTCAACGTAGAGCAACAAAATGGCGCATTTGTGACTTCTCAACCCATCTACTCCCTTCCCTGCTCACCTCTCCCAGCCCCGGATCCAGCCTTTCCACCTCTCAGGTGTGGTGTGTATTATCAATGGTTTTGGCACGTTTCATTTGTAGAAGATGCCGTCTTTCTTGTCGTCGCAATCTGTGGCCCTCTAATATACTGGAGCGCTCGTGCTCGACGCTAGGTTGAACTTGGAGGTGGACATTCAAAGGCGGTTGCTGTTGTTGCAATGGCTGCAAAAGCGGCTGGTCAATCGCTGTTCGTTGTTGCTGCGAATGAACCACTCCGACATCAACATGCCCATGACTTGGACCGTGCTGAGGATTTCTCATATGTAGATGCTGTAGCTGCTGCATCCACACGCCAAGCACATGTTGTTGTTGGCTCATCTGCATTTGTAGCTGGTGAAGCTGTTGCTGCAAATCTGAGCTTCCAGTTGGGTTGACGTTTTGGGCTGTAGGGCCCAACTGCCTTTGCTGCACTCTTTGTCGTAGCCGACGTCCGTTCGATCCACCTTCGGTACCTTGCATCCTTAAATCATGCACTGTTGGCTGATGTCCACTGGTATGAATGCGCCCACGACCTCTCGAACGACGGGTCACCCTTGAACCTCTCGGCTGCCTAGCTCCTTCACGTGGTTCACTATCCTCAATGTCCGCAACACCATCTTCAGGTATCACTTCGGTTTGTAGCCAGAGTCGTTGCCATCGTCGAACACGACGCGATGCAACCATTTCTTCCTGTGACACCTCCTCGCCTGTCTCCCTTAAGTGTCCCCAGTTATGTTCCACCTCGTTCTGTTGTTCTCGTCCTAGGTGCAACCCTTGCACTTGTTGCCCATTCCCTTGCTCCTGCCCATTCCCATGCTGCTGCCCATTCCCATGCTGCTGCCCATTCCCATGATGCTGCCCGTTCCCTTGCTGCTGCTCATTCCCTTGCCGCTGCCCAAACCATTGATGTTGCTCATTCCCTTGCTGCTGCCCATTCCCTTGCTGCTGCCCATTCCATGTATGCTGCTCATTCCCTTGCTCCTGCCCATGCCATTGATGTTGATCATGAACTTGCTGTTGCCCATTCCCTTGCTGCTGCTCTCTCCCTTGCTGTTGCTCTCTACCAAGCTGCTGCCCATTCCCATGATGCTGCCCATTCCCTTGCTGCTGCCCATTCCCTTGCTGCTGCCCATTCCATGTATGCTGCTCATTCCCTTGCTCCTGCCCATGCCATTGATGTTGTTGCTGCTGCTCTCTCCCTTGCTGTTGCTCTCTACCATGCTGCTGCCCATTCCCATGCTGCCGCCGTTGCCATTGATGTTGCTCATTTACTTGCTGTTGCCCATTCCCTTGCTGTTGCTCTCTCCCAAGCTGTTGCCCATTCCCGTTCCATAGCTGCTGCCCTTGCTCTTGTTGCTGCTCTTGGTGTTGCTGCTGCACACCCTCCTGCTGTACACTGATATTTGGAGTTTCTTGCTCCTCAGTCCCAATCTCCTCCACATTTTGGAGCTGTACGTTTGGATCTCCCAAAGTCAGGACATCCCAAACTTCTGTAACACCTGCCTGCCCTATTGTGCTAGTCTCCTCTTCGGCCTCACATTCCGACCCGCTTGTATCGCTGCAATCAAATTCATTACCACAATCACAGCAGGCTTGTGTAGTTCCATCCAAATCGCTGATGGCATCCTCTGAGTCCAATGTATCACTATCAGCATCTCCACCCTCCGGTATGTCTTGGATGTGAACAATCCACTCATGTGGCGGTGTATCTCCACGGTGTAGCCAACGATGCCTACGTATACGCTGAATCTGCTGTTCCCCTTCCCTCTGTTGACCTTGTTGTGCCTGATCTTGCTCTTCTCTTTGTTGCTCCCGCATCTCTAGTGCTCCACCTTGATCTTCTCTGTGTTGCTCCTGACTCTGGCCTCGCCTCTGCGATTCCTGCAATTGCCCTAGCCTCTGTTGCTCCCCCACCTGTCTTGCCTCTGTTGCTCCCCCACCTGTCCTTGCCTCTGTTGCTCCCCCACCTGTCCTTGCCTCTGTTGCTCCCCCACCTGTCCTTGCCTCTGTTGCTCCCCCACCTGTCCTTGCCTCTGTTGCTCCCCCACCTGTCCTTGCCTCTGTTGCTCCCCCACCTGTCCTTGCCTCTGTTGCTCCCCCACCTGTCCTTGCCTCTGTTGCTCCCCCACCTGTCCTTGCCTCTGTTGCTCCCCCACCTGTCCTTGCCTCTGTTGCTCCCCCACCTGTCCTTGCCTCTGTTGCTCCCCCACCTGTCCTTGCCTCTGTTGCTCCCCCACCTGTCCTTGCCTCTGTTGCTCCCCCACCTGTCCTTGCCTCTGTTGCTCCCCCACCTGTCCTTGCCTCTGTTGCTCCCCCACCTGTCCTTGCCTCTGTTGCTCCCCCACCTGTCCTTGCATCTGTTGCTCCCCCACCTGTCCTTGCATCTGTTGCTCCCCCACCTGTCCTTGCCTCTGTTGCTCCCCCACCTGTCCTTGCCTCTGTTGCTCCCCCACCTGTCCTTGCCTCTGTTGCTCCCTCACCTGTCCTTGCCTCTGTTGCTCCCCCACCTGTCCTTGCCTCTGTTGCTCCCCCACCTGTCCTTGCCCCTGTTGCTCTCTCACCTGCCCTTGCCTCCCTTGCTCCCTCACCTGCCCTTGACCCCCCGCCCAATGTTCCCAATGATGCTGAAGATGAAGACGTTGCTGCTGCGTTTGATGCCTCCTGCTTTGCTGAGGCCCTTGTCCTTCCAATGCCTCTCGCCATCTGTCGTGAGAATGCTGCTGCCACAGTCGTCGTGGATCCCCCTGCCCAAGCTGCTGCCCTTGCCTTAGCTGCTGCCCTTGCCCTAGCTGCTGCCCTTGCCCTAGCTGCTGCCCTTGCCTTAGCTGCTGCCCTTGCCCTAGCTGCTGCCCTTGCCCTTGCTGCTGCCCTTGCCCTAGCTGCTGCCCTTGCCCTTGCTGCTGCCCTTGCCCTAGCTGCTGCCCTTGCCCTTGCTGCTGCCCTTGCCCTTGCTGCTGCCCTTGCCCTTGCTGTTGCCCTTGCCCTTGCTGATGCATTTGCCCTTGCTGATGCCCTTGCCCCTGTTGCTGCTCCTCCCCTTCCTGCAACCCTTGCCCTTGCTGCTGCATTTGCCCCTGCTGCTGCCCTCGCCATTGCTGTTGCCCTAACCCTTGCTGCTGTATTTGCCCTTGCTGCTGCCCTCGCCATTGCTGTTGCCCTAACCCTTGCTGCTGCATTTGCCCTTGCTGCTGCCCTCGCCGTTGCTGTTGCCCTGGCACTTCTTGCTGGCCTTGCCCATCCCCAAACCCTTGCCATTGCCCCTGCAAATTCCCTTGCTGCTGCCTTTGCTCATACTGCTGCCCTTGACCTTGACCTTGCTGCTGCCCATTCCCTTGCACCTGCCCTTGTCCTTGCTGCCAACCCCCTTCCATATGTTGTTCCTGTGGTTGTGGCTGCTGCCCATTCCCTTGCTCTCTACGACAGGGGCCCCCCAGCCTATGTCGACTGTGACATCCCTCGCAGTCAACAAAGTTGATGGAAACGCGAGATAGAGCCTCAGTTTGCAAGCTGAGGTGCTCTTGGGGTGATCTCTGACCTCCTTCCCTCCTTGCTTCCTCACGATCCTCACATGTGCGAATGTTGTGACCCTTTAACTTACACCTGCTACACTTTCGCATCTTCTGAGGATCGGTTTCACCATTGGAGCGAATACGCTTGTTTTTTCTCCGGCCAGCTCTTCTCTTGTACTTCGGAGGCAGTGTCATTCCATCTTGCACAACAGATGTTGGATCAATGTGCTTCAAACCCTGCCCGTACATGGCCTTGGCAGTTTCAAGATGATACACACGATGAATCATCTGAAAAGGGACGGAATTGGTCTCCCCTGCTGCTGCAAAGATGTGAACACATGGGAGGCCGTACTCCCTACAAATCAAGGGGGAAAAGGAGGTGCAAGAAGAGGGGAAAGGGGGGAAACAAGGTAGAGAAGCGTGAGGCTTAGACTGGATCCCAAGTTCATTTCAGCAACAATCACGCAATCCATTCCACCCATGGGGTATGCATAAGGTAAAGCTCTCAAGGTGGTAGCTTCATGCTGCACTTGCGTTGTAAACACACTGTACTTACTTGGTGTAATTGCAGCTGCATGTCCGCACCCCCAAATCCACCACACGTGACTCCCGACGCCCGGTATGGGTAACGGCAAGGGTTGTTGCCCCCGTTTCTTCCACATCATAGCTTAGAGAGTCCTTCCTGTTGGCTGAAATGATCACAGATGCGTTTTTTGTCCAGGTTCCTGGCATCTGCGAATATTCATTGAATCGACGCTGTCTCGTCTTTGCCAAGTTCTCAATCCACCCAAGAAGCACCTGAGCTATGGTTCTATCTCGCAAGTTATGCATGGAAGCGTGTTGAGACTCCACTACGTTCGACGTGAGGACTCCAAAACGAGGGCTAGGAAAGTCTACTGTTGCCCATTTTGATAGCAATTCACCCCCTTCCCCTGCGAGATATGCTTTGCCTCCAGGGCACGTGTTCTCTATCTTTTGCAAGCGAAATTCGAATAACTCCAGGTTCAAAGTTTCAGCAGCTTCTTTGATGGACAGGCTCATGTCCATCATGAACTTTTTGGTGAAATTTCTGCCAATGTGGGTAATGCAATGGGATTCATGCGCAAGCGGGAGCAACTCTGCACAAGAACTCCATCCAAACCCACGATCATGTTTTATAACCCACTGGTCAGAGTTGAGCTCAGGAAAAACCTTAAGCAGCTCTCGGAATGGAAGGGCACAACCCTCATTGCTTTCTGCCTCCACAAATGCAATTCCAACAGAAACATAATGACCATCTCCATCCAACACAACCAGGTTAATTGTCTGACCCCCCCACACTGTTTTATTGTGACAACCGTCAACAATGAGCACTGGAATTGCATTCAACATTGTTGAACGTGCCACGCTCGGGATGGCACATGCACTATAGAAGCGACCATCGCGTTTAGTGAGAGAAACGACACTTCCAGGATTGTCGCGCTCGAATGTCTCAAGAATGCTTTTGCTGTACTGGAAAGAAGTATCATTTTGCTGCGGATCAGCCATTGTAATATCATGTATCGCTCGTCTTGAAGTTGAGTAAGAACCTCTCTGTCCCGTACGCTGCACCACCTCTTTAAGGAGAGTTTTGGGATCCAATGCCACGTTTGGAATCGTGTTAACAAACTCTATTAAATCTGCACGGGATGCCCCCTTGGGAAGAACAGTGCAACACTCTGAATACTGTGGGTTTGTGTTGGTGATTCGTAAAGATCCGTCCCAACACTTCCTAGCTGTGATTTTGAATTGACAGTGCTGATCTGTTTCGTTACCGACATGCGATGTCCCCTTGCGCTTATGGACAAAAGAGGGACATCGTGCGTCCACTCTAGCAGGTTTGTTCTCGATAAATTTGAAAGCGCACCATGTACCTCCGCATTGCTTTTTGATGTCATCTTTCACGTCATCCGATAAAGCATAGCGCTTCCCCACAGGAAAGTTAAGAGCAGTTGATTTGTTGTTCATCTGCGCATGTTCAAGGAAATGGAATACAAAACGGATAACAAGAATACACACATTAGAATGACATTGACGGACGAAAGATATGTGCTTAGAATAGAGAGGCTATTAGCGATCGTCAACTTGTGAATAAAGAAAGTACTATGGAACATTCTATTTCTTATGTATTGATCATTTTATGCAGAGTAGACATGACAACCATTGGTATAAAATAAGGACAGAAAGACCTCTAGTCGTAGGTTCTTAAACGCAGTCGCAGCCGGTTCAGCCTAAATGACCTTGACGCTCACCTTAAGAAGAGTAGCAGGTGGCAGGTATATCTCTCCGCAGGTAGCGGAGACATGGTGGTATAAATTAGGGTTGTGGGGGATGGTGAAAGCTTACGGGATGGTTTGGAGTTAGAAAATGTAAGTGAGGAGATGGGTTCGCGAAAGCTGTAAGTGTGAACGAAAATTGGTGAGTGCAACACATTTCGCAAGCGGGATTGAACTTCCCCTCCCCAGCCGTGAAATAGGGTTGACGGATCCCAACCCATCGCTTCACCCAGCGTGTTAGCGATTTCCGTCAACCCCACGTGTGTAGGAGGTGACGGGGCGGGTAGGCCAGGTTCGGACTGCCAGCTAGATTCGTGGCCAGTTCGGGGCCTACTTACTAGGGGTCCGAAGCCCTCGGCCCCTGGTTGATCACGCCCCTGCAACTGTATGGCCCCTGTTTGATCTTTTCCCAACCGCGAACGCTGCAACGTCGCCCAAGTTGGAGCCCGAGCCGCGCTCCGAAATGATGTTCGAATGCTGGCGGGAATTCAGAACTCGAACACGTGAAGCTCGAAAGTGTACACTACTTTGAAGTGTCTTCGCGAAGGTGATTCTCGACATTCACGAAGTCTGGTTTCCTTGAAAGTTCGATATTTTTCGAACGCTGGTGCACACGCCTTTACGACTCCCTGACCATCACAGCTTCCAGCATTCGTGCTGGCAGTTGGTGCAAGTGCTGACGGTTGGCGGACGTGGCTGAGGGTCAGCAAGAGGGCTCTCTGGGGTACCCTGAAAAATTCGGAGGCCAGGCATGTATAACCCTGAATTTAGCAGGTTCGGGACGAATCACTACCCTTTAGGCTTCAGGGTTCCGGCACGTGTGATTTTTGTCAAATTTGTCCAAAGTTCGCCTTTTGAAAGTGGTTCTACACGCCAGGATACAGTAGAGAGACGTCTCGCAAGGTGCAAAGTAGTATGAGTTCAAGTTTTCCAAAGATTGCACGCGCCCTTAGGGTGGAAAAATCTGTATTGTCGTTTCCACTATACAGGGTACAACTACCATCGGCATCCTCTCTCCCTCCCTCCAATCCTCTAGCTGCCTTTTGCGGAGAATTCTATTCTAAGGGAGAGCTAAATTGCGTGTGACGCACGGTCAGGGTTCTGGCAGTGATTCTGGACACAGTGTTGAATGCATTTGTAGAATTCGAGCATAGTTTCACTAAGGAAAGTTAATAGGATAAGATTATGGTCCAAGGAAGGAGATCTCAAATAGCAAGCACAATGAACCCTGGAGAAACGTTCGTCTACAAACGCTCGACCTTTCCGAGTCAGCAACGCCAGGTGAAACGACAAGCATATGTGTCTTTCTCCTGAGTTGGCAGCTTCTCAGGTTTCCAACGTTGAGAGTTGTTTACGTTTTTACTTTTAGTAAAAACGTGTTTCAGGTTCACTTTCCTTACTGATTCGAAATCTCCTGGGGAGTACAATTTCCGAAATGCTCTGATTGGTCGAAATTTGTTGTTTCGCGATTGGTCGAAATTCGCGCACATTGCGATTTTTGGAGACAAGTAATTTTGTTCGACCAGAATATCTCTGCTCGACGATGCCTCGTTCGAGCTTAATTCTGTCGACCAGCGTTTCGTCGAAACGCCATTTTCTCCAATTTCGTCGACCCGCAAGGCCCGATTTTGACACCGATTTGCTCCCCTCGACAAGTGACTTGTCGACGGGCAGTTGCATAGAGCAGAAATAACACTTCAATTTCGACGACTTAATCTTCTCGAAAATCGACCCGTCGAACAGAAATAAAAGTCCCTGAAGTCGCCAATGACCACGAAACGAACACCGTTGTGCTCCGAAAAGCATGGCCGACTTCGCCCAAACGAGGGCGGGGCCTTTTCTCCTCGACACTCCCCTGCCCAGCTCGAGTTTGGGCCCCCACACACAAGATCCACCCAGAACCTACTTAATAGAATACAACGGGATATTTCTCTGGCGTGCATACTCCCGCACGCCAATCACCGCAACAGCCATGTTAGAGGACGTGGCACCTACTGCTGAAGTTCATCATTGTCGTCGCCAATTTCGGCAAGGCAAACCTGGCCGACCACGATAGAGCACCGGTTGAAGGCCGGAAAATGCAGCGCCTTAGTGAGAAAGTGTGCCGGCTGTTCGGATGTCGGGATGTATTCCAGCGCAATCTTCTTGCGCTTCACGATCTGCTGCAGCCAGGCGTAGCGTCGCTCCATGTGCCTGAGGTTGCCCTTCAGCCCCAAGCCCTCAGCGACTGCGAGGGCGGACTGATTGTCCACGTTCAGAGTAGTCGGCATCCCAGCATCGAGGAGCTGGAACTCGGCGAGGAGGAATCGAAGTCGGCGAGCCTCCTTGCCAGCTTCAGTGGCCGCGATGTATTCTGACTCCGTCGAGGACAAAGTTACGCACTTGATGCGTTGGCTCGTCCAAGAGACAGCTGCGCCGCCGAAGGTGAAAACGTAGCCATTTGTGCTGCTGCTCGTCAGTTGCCGGCGTTGTACGCGTCCGCGTAGCGGACCATTTTCAGAGTTTCGGGGCCGCCGCCAAACTACAGAGCGAAATCGCGCGTGTCAGCGAGGTAGGTGAGGCAGCGATCGACCTCACGCCAGTGCTGGTCACTCCTCACTGTCAGACTGGACCCCAGCTTGCTGCATGCGAAAGCGATGTCGGGCCGAGTTGTCGTGGCAGCGAACTGCAGCGAACCGACCTTCTGAC